CTCCATGGGTTTGGAGCTTGACCTACATCTTCTATACGATAGTCTTATTACTGAACTGTTGTTATGCCAAGAAGCAAGAATAGGAAATATTTTTTATTTGAGGTCAGGTCGTTAGTGTTTCGCACCAAAAGTTATATACAAGTATAAACCGAATATCCTTAAACCCAGATGCTCAGTGGCTTGTTTCTATTTTATTTTCTCTTGTAGTTTTTATTTATTGTTACTTTATTCTTTTTTTACTAATAGAGTAAGTAGCAAACACACTTATATAGCAGCATATTTATAGTCAAAATTACAGAAGTGTTTTCTTTGTGCACAAGAGTTATACAAGTTTAAATCTTATTTCAACCACTTTTTACTTACAATCTTATGCCATCTTGATTTAAAAGCTGTATCGAACAAACAGAATTTGTAGCTACATTAAATTTTATCGGAAGTATGACCGCGTCCTTTCTTGTAAAATAGTTTCTATTCCGTAATTTAATTTTAAACCCTTCACATACACTACTTACTCGTTTTAAACAATATTCTGGGTCCAGTAATACAGAAACAAGAGCTTAATACAGTTTTGGCCATAAGAGGATTAAGCGATTATTATATTAAATTTATTATTGGAGTCGAATTGGAATATTGAATTTTTGTTTTTGCGATTTGTTATGAAGAACAGATGTTCATTATTGTATATAAATATGTGATTACATTTCACGCTATTTCTGAAGGCAGATTTTGCATAGTGATGAATTCTCGTTTAATTACTAAATACGTTTTTTTATGCAACTTAGAACGGCAAACAAGCTGACAGCCCAAGCCCACCTGATGGAAAGTGGTAACCGTCGCCTATAGACATGAGTGTATCTACGAACTGTGAATTCTGTTCAATTAATTCAAAATCTTCGTATAATAAGAGATGGTAATACACAAACGATGCCTTTAGAAATGTCAGCGTTTAAAAATTACAGTAGAAATGGACTGAATGTAAGTCTAAATAAAAAAAAAAAAATTGTTTGAAGTTAAAAACTATGTATTTGTTCTTTGATATAAAAAGTTGATAACTTATAACTTGGTTTAGGAATATAACTTGATTGTTATCTATTTATAGCATTGCGTCTATCCGCAACATAATCTATGTAACATTTTGTAGACAATGTATTGTATAGAAGTTGCGGACTTTCTTGTGTACACAAATATCAAACCTTCCTGGCTTGTATTGGATATTCCATATAATATAAAATAAAATCGATACAGCAATAAAACAAACGTGCAATATAAATCTAACCAGATATATTACATTATTTAAATATTTTATTACGAGTATATATAGATCCTGTATTATGCAGCTTACCAGCGTGATTTAGTATAAAAAGTGTATGCTGATAATTATAATTACGTTCAAATTAGCGCAAATGCTTGAATGTAATTCACTAACTATAGATTCTTTGATGTTAGTAATTTTATTACTAACATCAAAGAGAGTATTATTTCTATGACAAATTCAATAAAACATGGTTGCCTTTTTATTAAGTTCTCTTTAATCGAGCTATGGACTTATTTATTTAAAGAAACATATATTAAATTATTTTTGTTTTAATTTGTATCAATCGGATATTAGCAGTCTGTCTTATAGTCGGGTGAATTATTTGATTAATTAAATTTTCATTACAGTTCTATTCATACATTTTTGTTCGCATATAAAATAATTAGAAGTAGGTTGTACATCAGATTTAAATATAACAATAATATTTGTTTTTATATTTAAATCTCATATACCGATAACGTTTGCGACAGAAGATATTTTATCACCGGTTATATAACTAGACCATGGTCACGGTTAATATGTTTATTCTTGATACTTTATGCCTATTACTTATAATAACTATATGAGTGATATTTGATTATAGCTAATATGCGTAATATTTTATTCGACATATCGAAGTAATTAAACTATCAATTAAAAATAAAAAAAATTCTAAGTGCTTAAAATAGTTTGAACATAGAACTAGGTAAGATTGAAGAATAAAATAATAATGAAAGAGAAATGCACCAAAATGTTCGCGAATGTAGTCGTATACTAAATGAATGCTATAATGGTCTTTACATGCTCGTAGTATGTTTATATTAAACAAAAATATAAAAGTAGTGTAAGAACTTATATCACTTAATCTAAATTTATATAAACAAAAATTAAACCCGCAGGACTATAATGAGGATTAGTTCACTTGGCCTATTTTTTGCACAGTATTGCAATTATAATAGAGACAAGTTATATTTGAAAAGGAGGGCTGAATGTGTTGTGTAAAAAAAAATTACCAGTTCTACCTGTCCGAGAAGAAAGTTAATTTGTCTCCGCAGGTTATTAGGTGGATAATATTTATTCAGGAAATTTTATAAAATAAAACCACGTATTAATTCCACCACCTTCCTTACGGAGCCATATTTAATTATACTTTTTTACTGAAGTTTTCATAGTTTTTTTTTTTACAGTAATAATGTAAAGGAAATAAATCTGTTTCGGATCGAAACAGAGTTATAATATAGTAATGGTTTTCATACAAATAATTAATACTTACATATTTAACTTTCAGGTAGTTTAATGTATTGAAATAATGATTAAAAATCCTTTAAATTGTATGTTTTTATTAACAAATGTTCGTATAGTACTATCGATTTTAATGTAACGTTTTCAAAGAATTTTTTATGCAACTATGGTGGTAAACAAGCACACGGCCCGTCCGATGTTAAACGGGGTTACCGTAATCTAATGACGCCTGTAACACCAAGTATACCCACGTGCGCGTTGCCAACTCTTATTGATTGGTGTAACAAGCTAAATATATCACTTTGTACTTATTTATTTTTATTATTATAGTATTTTAAATTTGTTGTAGCAGTAATATTCTTCTGTTGGCTATCTCTATGAAATAGATTTAGAACGGTTTGTTTTAAATCTATTTGGCAGTAGCTAATCTTACGGGAGGAATAAACAGATTTACTGATATTTTTAGGCTATATGGCCAAGTACGGTAAATATGGTAAAAGAGGGGGAAATTGATTGTTAATAATGGGATTTAACTGACCCATTGCTAGCAATACACCCTATCAGGTTGGTCTCCACGCGGAACCCCCTGGAAACCATCGTGATTAATTCTAGTGGAATTCCTCAAGATGGGCTAACTGACCTACTTTTATCGTCACCTATCACCCCTCACTGGTGCCTTGCTAGCATATACCGATAGCGCAAGCGGGGTTACCATTCCACTATCACCCATTAAAAAAATATGATAGAAGAAAGTGACATCCTCTAGTAAGGAAAAAAATAGAGAAGGAGCAGAAGCTAGAATACTGAGTTAGAACTATATTTCATCCGGCCGGTGTATAATAAAATCATAACTTTTATAGTTCAAGTCCGATCTCCATGAAACTTTTCATTCCATGAATGCAATCAAATGTTTTGTGAGTTTTTTGATTAAGTACCATATTCGCGCAATACAAGTTTCCAGTGTGTCGTAAAATTGGAAAAGTTTATTCCTCGGTCTTGTTTTTCTATTTACGCATTAGAAAAATCTAAATTTATTCATAATAGTAACTTTATGATTATTAAATTACAAAATTGTTTGGGTCATTTTATAAATTTACATGATAAATTTATTGAACGTAAGAGTTATTTAAGACTTCTCTCATCAACACATAACGTCATATTATTATGTAAAATGTCACATATATATATGTTATTTGTTCTTCTTATGTCTTTCGATGTCCTATTATGTAATAACTAGAATCCACAAATAATTATTATTGATGTTAAAGACGAATAGAGAAATGACACTTTCCAATAAAAAGACTACAGGGTCGATAGGCAAAGAATACGAAAAGTAGGTAGTTCACTAGTAAGATCTGTACTTAAGCTGTGAGAAATATATTTAAGTCGATACTAAATCTTTGTAGATATGTCCGTTTTTTATGGCATCAGAATTGTTAGATCTGCTGTCATTTTATTTAGTCTTTTTTGTTCCAGGTAATTTTCATACTGAAGGAAAATCCAACGGATTCCATCCATGTGAGTACATTATTTCTTTTCAGTTACAATTTATTTGAAAGTATCTACGATATTTTGCGTCTATTGCGTGTTTATATACGCAATTTATATCAATAATTTTACTAATCAAACTGAAGTACTTTCTTTTATTATCATCATCAATTACAAAATATTATGACGACATAATGTTATAATATGATCAGTAAGATAAGATTGGACTGTATGTAAAACATAATCTTGTTGTCATTAATCATAATCGTAAGCATTTAAATATCAATGCGTTCGTTTTATGATTAGATTATATCATCATATTATAATATAAGTACCATATTAAATAAATCATATTCGAATACTTTAATTGAATAGCTACCATTTACATTACTATCAGAAATATGTATTAACAGTCTACTTGAAAACCGTCATTATTCATTTAATTTCCTGCTGTGTATTCAAAAAGTTCATTCATTATTTCTCGTCGTCTCCAATCGCGTCTGCTTGATAAAATAATGTCCCTGTGACATACGGCTTCACTTATGCGGCCATGCGAGTGCGTAGTGAGGGCGTCTCATCACTTCTGTTTATTGTCCGTGTTTTTCAATTGCGTAATCTTTGATGCTCTTCTACTTTGATACTGTGTAATGTAATGAATTGACTAGCAACAAAATTTGCAAGACTCGTGTCAGTCTTAGAAAGTAGGTTAAGGGGTCTAAGTTAACATTGTAACAGCAAAATATTTCACTGCCTTTTGGACTTCTGTGAGCGTCTTCTCAATATCACCAGTTGTTGCTTCTGGTAGAACGCATCAGGAAAACAGTGTGTGCATTGATAGAGTGGTTGTTGTTGTGTTTTTACGCTGTTTATCAGTTTCATATCGCGTATGTGTGCACTGTGTAAGCAGACGGTTTATGTGGCATTGGTATGTGTGCGTGTCTCTAGTAGTGTGGGTGTTCCTGTCGGCGCGCGGCGCGGTGGTCGACGGAGCACGGCCGGTTGGCGGCGCCAGTCGTGTTCGGAGCGCTGCGGGGCTGCCGTGTTTCTCCACGTAGAGCCCTCGCTCGCGATCCCAATAACTTTGTGCACTGGAAACTTTTCAAAGCAATTTCGGGCGGATTCGGTTGTTTAACGTCATCCACGCTTCGAATTTCAAGCTACATCGAATTGTACACAGTGTGAACGCCTGTGCGTACGCTGTCGCGCGTTTATTCTACTCACTCGGTCTATTTTTGAATATTCTCTAAACGCTTCACCGCGAAGTTTTCGAAACGCAGCCCGTCGGAGTCGGGTTAACGGCCGCAGTGTATGCACGTCTGCATCACGTCTCTTGTGTTTTTGTTGACGGATAATATTTTGTGCAGTTAACTTCCAACGATCAATCCAAGGAACGTTATCTGTAAGTATGACCTCGGTTGATTTACGATACTAGCTGCACATTAAACAGTATAATGTGACGATCTCTTTTGAATTGTAACTAGACATCTGTCTTAATGTGCTTATTGATTGTTCAACAATGAATAAATATTTGTTTAGAAATGTAAAGAAATTGTAAAAATGCAAACAAAGTTGACTTCGTTGTATTGACTGCTTACGTATGTGTTGTATTCGTGTACTTACGTACCCTCACTAGCGCATAAACATATTGTATATAAACATGTATGTTTGTAACAGCCAACGTCTATACTCACATATAGTGTAGAATGCTGTACGTATGTAGTAGGTATACATTCAAACATTAATACCCAAACCTTTGTCTATTGTATGGTGTTGTTTCCACCATGGTGGTGGTTGGTCGTTTCTTATTTAATGTATCTGTGTTTTTATATTTGTCACATGCATATCTTACGATCTCAAACACTTATTGAACAAATTACGAGATCTGAGATAAAGGTGGCTGTAACAGAAATGACCCTTAATAAACTATTATAATTATTAACTGTGCGTTAACGTACCTATTAAACGACAGAATAGCTAGTATTAGGTGCTATATTCTAAACAAATACCTATATTTATAATAAATATATTTTAACCAACATTTAAAGAAAATCATCTTGTGATTTAAAATTTTTATAGATCATGTAAAGATATAATTATCGCGCCTAATTAGTTATACAAATTTGAATTCTATGTGCATAATACTATTAATGAATTGAATAACTAATAGCTAGAATGATATGTAGCGTGGTTTTGCATTTAATTTGAAAAGTATATGTAGTTTTTATATACGATTTTAATTATAAGCTCATTTATCGCGGATCCAATTGGTTAGTAATGTATTGTTATCACATTATTACATAGAAATAGATTAATAAACAATGGTCAGTTCGGTTTTTCAGGAAAATCAGTTCAAAAGGGTTTTGAAATATTACGTTTTTGTGATCTCTCCAAAGCCTTTGACTTTAAGATCATAATAATGAATAATTTCTTTTTATGTAATTATAGAAAATGTATGAATCGTATTTATCTGGTACAAGTTAAAAGAAGTAAGAATTTAAAGGAAACGTTGTTAGATGTAACGGGAATCTTGGATAAATGGATGTATCTCAAGGGTCTACTGTGGGCCCATATTTATTCCATAGTGCAGTCAGCAGCTATATTCAGGCGAATCAGAATAAAAAGTATCCTATTTATTGCGCTAAATAAGACTTTTATGTGTACTACATTTAATTTAAATCTAAAGTTGTCTTTTAAATGTTATTGAATAGTTAATTCCACATTTATGATATTGTAAAAATAAATGTCTAAAAATGGTAAATAAATAAACAGCGCTTTTTTTTAAACTGTAATTACCTAATTTATTGTTATTTCTCTTCAGCAGATACCTTCCGAAATTGCAGTAGAATTATATCGAAACGAAAATGTCAATTTAAAGAATCAACAAAAACTTTGTAGTAAACAATTCTGCTTCAGTAAAGTATATTAGAGTTTGAGGATGATTGACATAAAACGGAGCGTATAATTGGGTGACTGACGGATGTCATTTGCTTAAATTATATTTATCATCAATAATTTATAATTAATGACTGATGTTGAAATCTATGAAACATAGGCTTTAAGGAGATCAAGGAAGTTACTGGCAGCTATTTACTAATAGGACGGTAATTTTTTTTAATGTTACCCATCCTCAAATCAAGTACAACTTGTACTTTGCTAATATTGTCCAATTTAGCCATTCTCGTAATTGGTATAATTCACCAGAGCAGAATGTTCTTTTCCATCCCTTATACTATGGATCTATCAAATTTATAACTATTGGTACCAGATAGGTTTACGTAACAAAACTGTGTTAGTTTTATTACGTCTTGTGTGTAAGTGAGTGTTCATTTTTATATTTATAATATTAGTAAACATTTAAAAACGTTTTATGTTCATTTCTGCTTAGTTAGGAATTAGATGGCGCTTTGCTTTGATATATCCAAGCATATTTATTATTATAATTATAATATCTACTATAACTGTAATATTTTTATCTACGAATATTATTTTTTGACGTCATTATTTATGTATACTAAACAAAAAATTTGTAACATCATTCATTATTTTTATTCGACACTATTCTAATAATGTTATATTATTATAGGAAATTTTTGATACTATGTTCCCTCCTGTTTTTATCTCTATCTCTCTATCCTTGATCTTTCAGGTTATCTTTATGTCAAATGTCATCTCAGTCGGCCTATTACTTTAGTTGAGGAATAGTAACAAACAGACAGACGGACTCAATTTAGTTTTCTAACATCAAGAAGAATAGTATTAGTCTTTATTCCTGTTATTTAAGTAATTATTTGTTTACAATTAGCACCATTAGTGTAAATTCTTAATATTCATTAAAAAATAACAAATGTAAATTTTCTTTGTTACATATTTAAATTTTTATTCTGTTTGTTCATAAATCGTGCAATAAATAATTATAAAACAAAATCTTTACAATATACAAGGAGTCAAATGACTAACTAGCAGAACAGTAAGCATAATCAATTTTGTCTAGGAGCATAAAATTTTGTGCAGGTTAAACTTAAATCATTTTTTTAGTAAGCGCTAAAAAATAACAAAATGTAACGAATTCCCCACAGGTGAAGCCTCAAAAAATAGCAAGTATGTGTATATCTTGGTTTATTTAACTTTATAATGTTTGCATCCATCAAATTCCTTAACATGTACAAAATACATATGAGATAATATAATTTTACGATTTTATAATGATATTATCAATATTTATTGTTATACTTGTATAAATCAAAATAATTCCATTCGTTCATTGTTTTTGCTTAAGTGTTTATAGTTTGGATTTAGTATCTTGTTTCTTGTATTTCAACTAATTATGTAGTAACAAGATTGGGTTATGTATGAGAATTACACTACATTTAATAAAATCAATAATAAAATTATATAATAGTATATTTAATTCGATGCAAATTCAATACTAAGTATAGAAACTATGATACAGTGAATAATAGATCTTCTTGCCTATCTTTTCCATAAAAGAGAATGCCAGAAGGAATAATGTATAAGATAGCCCGCGGTATCCTATATTCTATGGTGTATATGTGCAATGTTGTTAAAGTCTACAGACAGCGGTTACTATAAAAAAGTTAATACTTTGAGTAAAGAAAGGTTTACCTACAAAATGAGAAATATCTTGTGGGATTGTAAAATAAATACGTGACCATATTAAAATATTTCTCGACAATTCGTCAATGCTTTTTTCTACATAAATGTCACATATTCCATCAAGTTGAATAGATACTAATTAGATACTGTTATAAAAGTAATAAAATTCGCCTTGAAATTGTATTTTATGCTAGTTTGATTATTGTATTATTGGAGTAATACATTGAATCGTATTCATTATGCCAAAGATTCAATGTTCAATGAAGACAAATTACTGGTCACGTTGAATTATTCATAAATATAATGTAAATAGGTTTGCTTTTAGGTAACTTGTATTTAATGTAGGCAAGGAAACTTCTACTTGGTTGATCCATTTTCATGTCAATAAGCTTTAATCAGATTTTAGGTCGGGACTTTGCGGGAATCGTAATCATGGATATTGTTCAACATTTATTTCTTTGAGTTTGGAACACTGGAGATATTTATGACTCGAAATTTTGGGTCTATATAATAATAGACATACAATTTGTATGCTTTACAATGTTTTAATATCTCCTATACAAAATATATATTGAAATCACCAATACTACATTAGAGTTCTGAAATTTAAATAAAAAAACAAAAAAGTGTCTGACGTCAACTGAGATTCTGCTCTGTTCTTCACAGGTAAAATTACATTTAAAATTGGGTGATAGAATTATAAAAATTAACTATTTAAAATTGCTTATATTTAAAAATACTTGAATACAAATACTTTTTTTTGTGCATGGTCAAGATTTTAACATGAAAAAAAAAATATTCTGCGGAGTTTTAAGATTGGACTCGTATCGTCATATGAGCCGTTAATTGTTCACTACTGAACATAATAAGCCTTCCCCATAAGGGACATTTTGCCAGTAGTTGCCATGCTTCGTTTGCAGGGTTGGCAAACGCAGTTAGGCTTTTAGTGATGTTTTAAGAGAGATTGCTGCCGATCTCTTTATCATTACGTTCCCATAGTCGCTTCTTACGACACCCGCGAGAAAGGAAGGGAAGGTATATTCTATGCCGAAACCACATGGCGGTACTGCGGACTCATTTATAATGTTTTATCTATGTCCGGAATTTTGAAACACTATACAAGTATAATCTAAATTACTTGTGAAGAATTTTAATACATGAAGTGTCATTAGTTTCGTCTTAATTATGATAGCTGATGGTTTTGGTAGCTAATAGTTATTGAGAGTTTAAAATATGCAGTATAACAGTTGGTTTAAGTCAAAAATTTATCGACCGTTTGAGCTTGACTATAAAAATGCATATTGTGCGGAAAATTTATATTTATGTCATGATACACTTAACCTAGACGACAATCCTGCATCACATATACTTACAACCTCTCAGAGTCGATCGATCGTAGTCTAACAATATTGATGTAGATCGCCAGTAGTTCAGGTTTGATCATCCCTGCTTTAAAAGATTAATTTATGTCATAAACATTGTTTCAGTTATTCATTGCCAATTGTTCTATTATGTTTTTTTCATAGATCGAATTGGATATAATAAAGTATTATAATCTTACATCTAGAGGAACAAACCTCAAATGTCTTTGAAAATGATCTGGAATTAGATCACAGAAATTTCAAGAGATTATTTGAGTCAGGAGCTATTACGTGTGGAGAGAACAGACCACAAGTGGGTCTTTAAATGTTTTAAGAAGATGTGACATGAATAACAATTATTAGTTTACGGTTGTGTCCATTTTCATTGACTAAATGTTTAAGGTTCATTATAAAAAATAGCTCA